GCCAGGGTTGCTGAAGAGTTGGCCCTTAGCCTAGCATCGGCAACGTGATTGGTATTGTGATTCAGATGATGTAGTGCCTGTGTATTAGCAGGGATGACTCTCAGCTTAGTGTTTTTTCAACAGCCCCCAGTGTGAAAGCCAGCTCAGAAAGTCACTTCACTAAACCCTGAACCCTCTGCTGCTATCGGCATCGACTTACCGTTGGCTTCTACTCGTTAAACGCACAGAGATAAGGGGAAATTAGTCATGACTGACAGACTAGCACTGGATAAAATTATACAGTTTATTCCATGTAGGTCACCAAACTGATGTGGCACGGACTCACAACTTAGTAGTAAAGCAGCGGCTTGCACATATCAGAGGTCCCTGGCAGTTCTGCTTCATCTCTCCATTATCACGATAAAAACTGGACTTACTGAGGATAAGGTTAATTATATTATTTAATTAAGAATGAGCAGTGAAAAACTTTTTCCATAGCACATTTCATGCAACAGGTGCAACTCAAAGTGCTGTACAGCAACAGCACAGTACTCCGCTACAAGTACTGAGCAGCTATTAGCAGGAAAATGTACTCAGTTAGAAGTACTCGTGGATGCAGATGCATGAAAACATTGTGGATGAAATAAGCCTGTTTGGAGGCAACACTGACATAATGAACATATTAAATTCAATGTCAAATCTTGATCAGCAAATTAACCAGGAACTCCAGGATCAAATACAGAAGTACAATGTCTCCCTCTTTAATGTATAAAGCATTTTATAAGTATACCCCCACGCAGGTGTTTTCACCTCTGGCTAATTAATGCATCATTAAACTGTGATCACTAAAATCGGTAGACTGCACCTGTTTTGTACCTGTCTTAATTTATTTTTATTACTTTACAGATTTTTATTGTTTAGTAGATTATGGTCTATTCATCTGTAATGTGTGAACGTGTACTGAGACTTCTGTGTCTTTACATATTAAATAAATGTACTTATTTACTGTTATGGTTTAGTCCCCCTCACCAGGAGGATGAGGGAGAACTAGGGTAGGACTCAAGTTTGCAGACCCAGGTGCTAGCGGAAAAATGGAGGTTTAATGGAAAAGAAAAACACAAAGTGACAACATAACAAAGTCCATGTACAATACTAAACCGGAGTAGGGCAGTGACGGCTGAGGGGTCCAGGACAAACAGGTGAGTAGAAACTGTCAGCGTGGAAATCAAATAACGAAACGGTGAAAACACAAAAGACCAACGTCATAAAAGAAATTCACAGCACAGTCACTGTCAGCGTGGAAATCTAAAACACGTACAGTATATTTTAGGCGTAACTTTAGGCAATGCTCCGGTGACGGCGGAGCGTCTACCAGGGGTATAAATAAGGAGGGAGTCAATCAGCGGGATGCACCCCAGCTGTGTGCACCGACAAACAAATCACTAACTACGAATGCAACAGAGCTGAGGTGCGAATCCCGCAGGTCGAGAAAACAGAGAGAGAGGTGGAACAAAGGCAGGTCAAGAGAACAGAGGAGAGAAAGGCGGAAGAGAGGCAGGTTGCGCCAAGCGGACCTGACACTTACAGTCCTGAGAAAGGGCCTGTGTTGGCAGGGGCGGACCTAGAAAGATTTTGGCTGGGTGGCCAGTTTTAGGCGTAACTTTAGGCAATGCTCCGGTGACGGCGGAGCGTCTACCAGGAGGGGTGGCAGATTTGAAACACATCTAAAAAGTTCTATTAAATAATAAACCATTCATTATTAAGAATCCGCTTAGTTATTGCGTGTAAAAATGAGACGTGGCACTTTATTTAGCTAACTTTGTCTGCACTCTTTATTTACTCCCAGCTAGGGACATCGCTGCCCCCCCAAGTACTCCATAACACCACAACTGGAGTAATGAATGCAAATATCACATACATGATATAAAATTTGACCAATTTTTATTTGCAATAATATGACCAATATCAATGATAAAGCACCAGAAAAATGTTGCAATTAAGGCAGCAATTTTCCTTAAATTCATTTTTACTGACTCTTGCAGGGGTGGCACTGGCACTGGCTCTGCCCATGTGTATGTCGGGGTGTAAATGGCACAGTTCTAAACAAAAGGGTCTTCTATCACTGTCAAATGACTGTTATTAAATTATTAATATTATCAGATGCAGGTTACATGTTTATTCACATCAAAGAGTAAAGAGTAAAAAAGACCTATGTACTATGTAGTTTTTCAATTTTGATCAACAGAGAAACAATCAAATTACATTTTTTCACTCTCCTTAAATCATTTTAGTACAACAAACATATATGTGGTAAAGATAACGAACCTGTCCTTTAAGCACATTATTGGACTAAATGTAGATATAACAGTGCCAAACTGACTCTACCTGTATCTGTGCAGTATCTTAGCCGGCACATCAACCTTTAGCTGTTCATTATCGTTTCTCCACGGTGGGTGCAGAGTGAATGCTATGTGAATACCAGGAGGAACTTTAGAGCATTGCCTCAGTAGATTGTAATTTCATTATTATTTCAATTGCACCTGTGTTCAAGCTTTGGCTCCTTGTGTGTAATTAGCAATTCCAGTGGTACTGTATGATGGTTAGCTGCTAGTCGCACTGCGGATTATGATTCTGGAGGCATTTTTTGCATATCTGTACATGGGAGGGTTAGCGTTTGGTGTTAGCATTAGCGATTCTGACAGCGTATATTGTGATGGGGAGGGTTGGCTTTTAGCGTTGGGTTGGCCGCTGTGTGCTGTTGTGATTCCCATGGTGTAGCCAGGCCTGGGAGCAATGCGGCATGTGGCGGATCGTCCCAGGTGGTGGGCTGTCAAGACGAGGATCAAAGAGCAGAGGAGTGGACCTCACACACACACACTCCCTGCAGTTCTACCTGTTTAAGAGTCAGCACACACTCACACACACAAAACTGAAGAAAATCAATGAGAGAGCACACACATTATTAATGCATGGCTGCTTTTTATTTACAGAGAAAAATACCTGTATGACAACAGTGAGCAAGTGAACAAATGCTGCAGACTAACATGAATAAGCTATTTGTGTGTGTCTTTTCTCACAGTACAAACATTTACCTG